GAGCCTTGGCCAGTTAGATCACTATGAACGTAGCTGAAGCAGATGGAAACAGGGTATTGCTTGCCAAAGCCACTGCACTCCACGGCGCGTTCCGACATTATTTGATCTCATCAAGTAAAGATAGCCGGCTTCGAACCCCCTGAGCATTAGGGTGTTAGTTAGAAACTCAACCTCCTTAGCCACCGAATCACAACGCACAGTGCTTGGTGCAACGGTTAATAACTGGTTGGATGGTCATTTTGTATACTCGTCGTTCGACCTTACTGTACGGTTGTGAAACCTGGACCCTAAGATCGGCGGACATAAAGAGGCTAGTTACGTTCGACCATCGGTGCCTTCGCAGTTTGGCTCACATCTGGTGGAAACACCGAGTGAGTAACGAGCGTGTTCGACGCCTTGTTTACGGCACAGAAAAAGGAACTGAACCGCTCAGCACCGTCATTTCACGCACCAGGCTCCGATGGCTGGGCCACATGTTGCGCATGCCAGCCCACCGACTCCCGCGACGTGCGTTGTTTGCTCACCGGGGGGGGGGGTGGATTTAAGAAGAGGAGGGGTGACCAAGCGACGACTTGGTCCAGAGGAATGAAGGTCCTCACTTCGGAGCTGGCCTCGGTTGGAGCTTCACGGCTCCCTTGTTGGGGTCCGAAAAACGGTGGACACGTTTGGCTAGATACACTTGGTGACATGGCAAGGTGCCGACCTCAGTGGCGTTCGTGCTGTGAGTTTCTTTGTCCCACCCCACCCCTTTTAGCCTACCCCTCCAACCACGATCTCATTTCATAGCGTAATACAATTTTACATAATCATTTTTCTTGTTGCCTAGTGGCCGGTTGGTAGCTTATCGGAACGATGCCTATCCGTTGCTGGTAGCCCAACTGGCATGAAACTGTTGTATTTATTTTCTTTTTCCTTTATATATTACGGCACAGTAGCTGAGGTGTTTCCCACCTCTATCTAACGTGTATAATGATGATGTTGACTCTTTGTGTGAATGGGTTGCGACGCTCAATGTTGACCGCGATTCCCATTGTAGTGAACATTTGTCATTCGATCACGAGGACTGTAGCTGAAGAAGATTGAAATCGGTGTTGCTCGCCCGATCTATTTTCCTGGAGTTCCTACGTCCTTGTATCCAGCTATGATGCGCACAGGGGACAGCGTCGTTGTAATACATTAGGCTTTTGTGCTACGCTTTAGTCACGCTACCTCAACTCAAGAACACGCGCTTTTCTTTCAAATCCCTGTTATTGTCAATGAACATCCGCTCAAAACCCCGAGTTCCCTTTGTTCTAACGTCCACCGACATATCCCGGAGGTGACTAGAGACGATTTCATCATTTCCTTCAACCCTTTATCCGCATAGCCATGAGTACGATGTTTCCAAGCACTGTAAGATTACTTATAGTTCGTTCCTGAGTCTGCTAGCCTAGTATATTCAAAACGACGATACGAAGGTTCCTCATGCAAAAGCAATCTCTACTCTCATAAACACGGAACAATACTATCTGTTGGGGTGTTTTAACAGGTTTCTCCACCTTTGCTTAAGCTTCATCGAGGCGGACTTTAGTCAGCCTTCTGGAGTAGCCTCTGACCGATAGGAATTTCGGTTGACCCTCCTCTTTTTTAATGCTCTAGTTTTGGCGAGTTAAACGTGTTCCTTAAACATTGATTTCCGGCCCTTCGCTTTTAATCTACTTAACGCAACATATCGGTCTACTTTGTGGTAGCTCGTGGACACGGACATTACGCTCCAACTGCTGTTTTGGAATGTGTTCTGTTCCGACTGGCTCTAGACCAGACGGATCCTCCTTAAGACTTTTTGTATGTGAGGTGCTGCGCCCACGTGGGATGTTGGTTACCGATGAGAAGCTGGAGCCCGTAGCACAGACTGCTCCTATCGTTCACTCAACCTACTTATAGTGTGTTTGTTGCTCGTGGTATGAGCGTCCAGTTAGGTCGTTTTTTAACCGCTTAGTATCCTTACTGAGATCCAAGCATATGTTGCAGTGTTCACCTTAACATTCTGCTCTCCGGCGTATATACTTTCACCTGGTCCCCGTCAAACAGAGACCAATGTTCAACATAAGCTAGGCCTATTATCATTAGCTGCAGAGAAAACACATCAATGCATGATTGATCATGTACTGGTACCTAAAATAAATTTAGACTCCAGTACAAACCCGTATAGCGTCCGTTCTTGCACTGTTGGCGGAATTACAGTTAAACACTGAGGCATCAACTATCACTCACCGTTCACACAACTGAGTCGAACGACAGTTAGTATAGCCTCATATCTTTCATAAAACAGGCTGCTGTGATCGCCTCCCGTCGCCTCGAATGCCAACTACTTCTTTTACACTGACGATTAATTTACTTGGAAAGTCGGTGCCGATAGGCTTCGGGGTAGCCGCAACTAAAACGACGCTTAATCCAGAGTCTCTGAATGCATCAACCTTTCTAATGGCTCACTTTAAGGTGGATTAGCTTAGGATCGATTACTTCTAAAAGCACTTCATTCGAACCGGTGTTGCGTCAGCACTCATTGAGTTGCCTGATTCTTTGGTTGCCAGAATTGTGGTTTTCCACAGTCAACACCTAAACCTTCCTACCTCTCCACCAATAACAGGCATCGACCTACTACTTTTGGGCACCATGGATTGCAATATTCATTGCAGTGAAAGACCTACAAATTGGTGCTTACCGACTGACATCTGCCTTTTAAGATAGTTGTTAAGAATATGTGTGGCTGTCGAGGCTTCATTTTCGTCTCCATAGTCTTCATAGGCTTTATGTTTCTCTAGAGACGAGTCAGTAAAAGCCGAACTGGTCTCCGCCTCTTTTATGCACTGTTAAAAATGCGCTTTTACTCCCTGTACAGTCATTCATTTTGACCGCCAACCACTTTCGTTGTCTCTGGTCCAAGGATGACTTGGACTCAGTTTACCACTGTGGTTTGCTATAATGTTGGCCATTGATGTCGCGTTCTTGTATGGGTGCTGAGGTTCCCGAACAATTTATCGATCTTAACGGAACTGGTGTGATAGTTTGTTTCGACGGGGAAGACACATAAATTGTCTTGTTCTCTCTTCAACTCTGCCACTTAAATGACTAAGTGATTCTATTTCACATCGCAACTAGTTGTCTTCTTAGGCATGACGCTCGCTTTTTCCGTCTGTATGCTTCTGTCTATGACATCATTAATCCCACTGTGATCCGACATGACTCCAGATGTCCCGTGAGATTCTGTGTAACTGTCTCCTTAGTTCGCCAATACATGTAGAACTCATCACGGCTGCTCATTCTTTCCTCTTAACTTCTCTGAGTGTGAATCTTGAATGCCTCTTTCCCCTCTCTTCGTCATCTGGGGCAGTGACTCTGCCTACTGACAGACAAACATGCGATCGCACTCAGCCAATGTACATGCACTTCTGAACAGGCTGTCGCAGTGTACTGGGCGTTTGAGTATGTGATTTCAATCGGTTGCTGCAAAACTGGATAGCAGACCGCCGGTTTCAGCCATCAGCTATCGTTAACTTGAATTACTCATTCGGTTACCTTATCTAGCCGACACAGTCATCGTGCAGTTCCCATCTGAGACATTTGGCTTCCTAACTACCCTGTCATTTTCGAATCCGGCGGTTCACGTGCTGTTGTTAAACAACAGGGATAACAAATCCGCGACTCATCTGTTATGTGGGTTCAACGTATCAACAATGCTTGCTTAGACCACCAAGAAACCTGTGGGTTTTTATCCCCCGATACCGCTAGCAGGTGTATGGACACCGAGTAGACAGTGTTGGAGTTCACTGCGGCACCGGTTTCCTGTTTTTTCTAAACTCAAACTACCTACCTTGGTTTGGCCACGTTTCTCGTGCCCTTACTGATCACCTTCCTATCTATGGATTGTTAACTATAATCGCACCTAGTTATGAGTAGCCTCATAGTGAATAGCCGATTTCATTGCAAAGCGACATGGTGATTTAGACTGAAATATTTGACCGGTCTGGTACCTGACGCCTTCCTAAACGAAACCAGCGATATCAGATACGTCAGTACTAAAAGCCCCATCCGATATGGCGCATTTGGGTATCAGTGAAGCCTTGCGTTCAGCTTCTTTCTTCATCCTGTTTATCTCTCCATCTGACCGTTACATATCTACGTCATTTGTCTGCGTTTTTGTTTTCCTTTCATTGATTGTCCTTAATGTTCACTAATATATAGTGACATGGGTACTGATAAATCGATCTGTCCCATCTCGGTTTTCGGATCTCTTTCATAAATAAAATTCGTATAATTTGGTTGAATTGTTTGTGCGAACCCTTGTCTACTGTGTGACCGCCGGATATCCAGTAGGCCTCTCTCATCCATATTCTCATTTCTGACCGCCCTCCCCGATTTAGTGCCTACCTTATCATCAACCACTTCTTGTTTACCGACCTTTTCACTTTTGCTAATTTTGGCTTTCAATGTCATGTAAGGTTTAGTCACTCTTAGAAAAGAAACAGTTCCCACTAAATTATTTAATCGGCCTTGTACTGTCCCAAGCCGTAGCCCTTTTGCAGTACTATGATTTCTGTTCTTGATACCTTGGAATTATCTGACTCCATTTGACCACCAACGGGACAAGAATTCTAGTCAACCGTTTGAAACACATATGCTATCTCCCCTATGTGGCGCCTTCGTTTGCTATGATTAGCGAGACAATACTGAGCGTTTTGCCTTAACGATTTCTATGGTCGCGGAATGCGCTGTGATTCCAAAACCACTAAGCTGAACCCTGTGATTCTCCGATGTTCACGACTGCATTATAGCAAGGTTAACGCATCCGTGACAACATTGGTTTATGGTTGTAGCGTCGGTTTTGAGCGGCGATCTTTCATTTATCATTCCCTTTTTGGCCCGTCGTATTCCATGACGTGTTGCTCCATTGATCTGTCCAATCTCCGTATTCTTCTACACACCAACCTTTTCTACGATCTACCTTTTTCCTTGCCAGAAAATGCCCTATTCGGAAGGCATCTCCGAATCTGAACTGACGGTTGATTTGCGGTGAGTTTACCTAATTTATTAGCGCTACATACCGCAGAAATGAAAGGTATCCGCATTCCCGAATCGTTAATACTTCGCTACTTAATTTGACCTGGTTCATTTTGTCACCTCCCCTCTCTCACTGTGCTTGTTACAGTCGTCGAATAACCGAATTGGAGACTCAGTTATCCAGTGTGGAATCGGAGAAACGAGCACTTGAGGAAAAAATAGAAGCGTTAGAAATGAAGGTTAGTTTAAATTCCGCGCTGTATACCCCCTCCCCGAGACAAACTACTTCGTATTCATCGTATAAGTTGGTAGTTACATTCGACAGCGGACGGTTGCATGCACACAAGCAAATATTGCGGATCTAATCCGCAGCCCATTGCTCCATCGTGTGACCATCGTCAGATCACATCCTGATCGCTGATTTCCTATGAACCTGTTTTGTTCACACTATCTTCTTCGAAAGGACAGCATCGGTGTGTGCTTCATTGTGTCTCTTCTGAAACTTAAGTCGCTAATGCGCAGCTGGTGTAATCCATTGATAATAAAAGCCACAGTCAAGGCTAGCTTGACTAGTTCAGATAATAGGCACTGAGTTTGGTAAGAACTAACTGTAACGCACTTCAACAGAAGCTCTCATGGACACGTAGGAATTCAAGTTGCGAAGTTGTCTCTCCAGCAACTCTCATTGAGGATTGGAAAACGCATCTTGATGACACTAACACTTTCATCGCGAATAGACTAACGGAGCTGGGGCAACATCAGCAGAGGGCATCCGTGCAAGCCTCCCCCCACCTTACAATGGCCATTAAGTAACATCAAACATTATTCACACGAGCACAGATGATTTTCGTCCCTCCATCGGCTGGCGCATGTTTGCGTTGTCACGACTTGCCAACTGAAACGGTCGGCCTCATGATGAATCTAGGCGAGTTTACTAACCCTGAGCAGGTGCTCGTGTTTCATTAACCCATCTGGTTAATTTACTTTTCTTCCGAATATAGGTATCTGCCGGAGTATTCTGAAGTTGTTGCGGAAAGATTTCTTTGCAACTTGTAGTCCTAACAGGATTAGCTCTTCCATTGGTTGAAATAATCCTACAATGTGCTTTGTGGCTACACACCTCAAATCAGTGCGTTTCGTCAGCGAGCGACCTTGCTCAAACTGGCTTTTTTCTCATTCGTGGACTCACCACTGACCCAATTTGGGTACTCCTCACAAATACTCCTCTCGTTCACTTTAAAACGTTTAACCTAAAGCGAAACGAAAAGTAAATAATGTGCAACCAGAAGACTAATGTTCGTTTATTGGTTTCCTTTCCACAGGGCGCCTACGATCCGGCGGCGACGAAAGTCCTCACATTACGCGATAACCCCTTTGCCAATACACAAGAGAACTTATTCACCGAAGTGACCAACTTGCGTCAAGACAACGAACGGTTTAGACAACGTATCAAGGTAACCACTGCGTTTGTCCCCTTTTCCCTCTACTCTCGACTCATACAACCTGTTTCTTATTGCTCTGGGGAAGCAGAGCGGAAAGCGCGTGTGACTCTTCATCCCCTCCGTGGCGCGGGCCGTTTCGGCGAATGAAAGGCATCAGCACCACACCGGTACGGTTTACTTGCCACGCGATCATCACCATTTGCGTGGGAGCTAGGCATACTGCGCGTTCACCCGCATTTACGCAGATTCGGATTGGTATCTTATGGATTACAAAGCATACGTCTTATTTACTCGACCAGCAACCGAGCTACCTTCGAGCACAGAGCTACAATGCTCTCCTACGTCCTGTGTTTCGATTCTGAATGGAGAGGAGACAACAACTGGTGACATTTTTTCAGGTATTCTACCCGACGCACATTACGACCGACAGCAGAGCAAGTATTATGGGCTTTGTTCGGCATGCTAACTTTGTATTCAAGTGGTCTTTCTAATACCTGTCTCTTTTTCCTCGTTGAGCTAATATCCGCCAAGTTGCATGCTATTTTATGGCTTGAGATGTCATTTCGAACCGATTAAGCACTTCGCTCTCCTATCCTACGCAGGTTACCGATGTGGGACCCACATAGCTCTCCAATTCTTTCAATTCATGCACTCATCGTACGCTTTTCACTCACCCGCGGTAGGAAAATTCGATAGCTTTGTTTCCACATTTCATTTCTTGGTGCTTGAGTTCGATATTTGTCGCTAAATTCATTGACTCTTCCGTTTATACTGATCATGTTATCGCACATGCTGACCCTATGCTGCGCTACATTTGGCTTCACTTCTATTGGTTCTAACAGGCGCCGAAGTAAAACGCCTGAGAGGTAGCGTCGATTGACTGCACCGCAATCCTTCTCGTTAATACCATTATCTAAATAGCGTAAAGCCTCATTTCTCAATGAAGACTACTTTTGACGCATGGTGTACACATCCAACTTGGAAGGTCCCAACGGTGAATGGATCTCTGAAGCATCGCTCAGTTTGATCGGTGCAAGCAAACGGGTTCCGTTGTGTACATAGTTTTTCAGCGGGTCCGTAACCCTCTGTAACGACGAGTGGCAAGTTTTGCAATTTTCGGGAACCATGGTGAGCGGCAAGAGCCTGAAATGGAAAAAGTCAGTGTTTTGGGGAACAGCCAAGTGCTAGAAATCCCGCAGTAAGTGAGACAACAGCTGGAATAGGTGGATAGTTGATCCATTCTCAGTCACCTTGGCTAGCTCGTGGGCGGAACATTTTGAGGCGCAATTCAGTGGGTCTTATGCAGTATTGTAGCTTGCTGAATCACCTGAGCCGATGTATGAGCTGATGTCACATCTCCAAATTTGAAAATGACTCGACATGAGCTGGTAGTGTGAAAAGAAAACAATGCTTCTGAACCCGACCAGCTTCCTCCATATTAGCCGAGACATGGAGCTGACTTTATACTGACAAGAATTTCTGCTTTATTTAACACGATTTAGGACACAGAAAAGTTGCTTTAAAACTTGAAACGTCATTTGTCGTGCCTGTCTTCACAAACGGTCAACGGACTTTGTGTGAAAATCATAGAGGCATTTGTCTTCTTTCCATTGCCTTCATCTTTCTCCGGGTGTCTTTCTTTGCTGAATTACTGGTCCATTTGAGAGCTGAATCACTGGAAGCCAGGTTGGCTTCCGCTCTGTTCCTGGTTGCATCAACCACATTTATTCTTTGTCAAGTGTTAAATTAGAGGCACACTTACAAACAATCGAGGATGGTGGCTTTCCTGGATCTTGGAAGCCATCTTCGGCTATGTTGATCGTTCCATCTTGTGGCACTACCTGTCTGTGAAAGCGGATTCCTGACGCACATTAATAGTCTACAGGAGGCTGTCTCCTAAGTTCCCCACAACAAGTGGGGTTCGCCAGGGTTGTCTCATACCTTCTTTCCTCTACAACATCATTAAAATGATCAAATATGGCTCCGTTCCGTTTGACTTTACCGGAGTGGAAGTTCTGCCAGGTGACCGACCGACAAACCTTGAGTATGTGGACGACATAGCTTTCCTCAAGTCTGAAGCATCGGCTATTCAAGCACTACTGCACAGACTGACGCGTAACACTACACGCTTCGGCATGTGCTTTGCTCCTTCAAAGTGCAAATTACTGCTGCATGACTGGATCGACACATCTCCGGTTCTACCTATCACCCAACAACCATTGGAAGTGGTGGATCGGTTCCTTTACCTTGGTAGCTGTTACCTTTGGTAGTCACATCACTGATGAGATTACTTCGCGTATCAGCAAGACTCGTGTGGCTTTCCAGAGACAAACGTCTATGCGGACGGTGGGATATCAGCCTGTCAGAGAAAGGTAGGGTGTATAACGCTGCGGTAAGGCCGGTCTTTCTGTATGGACCAGAGACTCGGCCAATTCATATTGAAGACATTAGACGTTTGGCCTGTGTGACCACCGGTGTTGGCTGAATGTTGCACACATCTGGTGGGAACAGCGGGTAAGCAATGCTGAACGCCGCCAGTTGGTTTTTGGTAAGTAGCGCACGTGGGATCAAATATGAGGTCACGAACCGTATAGCAAAAGCTCGGGGTGCTTTTGCCAATCTCTGCAACCTATGGCGCCCACGCGATATCACGTACTGATGGACAGAGTTTGCACTGCAGCCGTCCGTTCAACCCTCCTGTACGGTTGCGCAACCTGCCTCATCAGCTCGACCATAGCTGCCTTCGCAGCTTAGCTCATGTCTGGTGGGAGCACCGCTTGTGCACTGAATGTGTTCGGCGTCGAGCATTTCGTGCATGAAAAGCTAGTGAACTGCTCAGCACCATTATATCACGCACCAGGCTCCGATGGCTTGGTCACATGTTGCGCATGCCAGCACGCCGACTCCCGCGACGTGTGTTGTTTGCGTGACTGGGGTCTGGTTGGAAGTGGAGGAGGGAAGGCCAAGCGATGACCTGATCGAGAGGAGTGAAAGCCGTCACTTTTAAGTTGGCGTCGGTTGGTGCTTCCCGACTGTCGGGCTGTGGTTCGAAGGACGGTGAACACTTGCTTGGACACACTGGTATGGCGATGGCATTTGTGTAGTTTCTTTGTCCACCCCGCACCCCTTTAGATGCGCTCCTCAATTACCATCTAATAAATTAATAATATGATATTTAACATTATGTTACTTACTTTTTGAAGTTTCTGTGGTGTAATTTTTAGTATCTTATTTTCTTACGGCACATTAGCTGAGGTGTTACTGACCTTCAGCTAATGATCATGTAGTCTTCTTATGCCTCACCTGAGTGTTTGCTAAGGCTCAGCCGCTTACGTTTTCTGGTTATGTCCTCCGTATGCATGTCAACCGACTTCTTCAACGTGAATGAAGGTATAACTTGGTCTAGTTGTTTCGTGCCGCTTTCGTAGATGGGGGATCTTGGGTTGGTCCGTATCAGTAGTTGGAAACGCTATCGAACATGGTGCGTTCACGTAATCGGTTCCGTACCTGCATTCGGTTTTTAGCATCTAGCTGTTAATTTCCATTCCATCTCAATTAGTTTGCGTACTTCTTACTTGATTCCATTTTCTTTGTATTCTGTTTGCGTTCAACCTCATTTTATTACGGTTACTATCGATTTTTGATGTGGAGACGCAAGTCGTGGCAATATGATTCACTGTACTTTGCTTCCCGGATTATAGTTGTTTAACCGAGGTGAACTGGACTCTGATCGCTGATGTTTATATGGCATAGTTCGTCGCAGATTAAACAACAATATATACTGCACGGAGGTTCACTGGCTAGTGTCCGTCAACAGGCCTTCTGGCACATCTCTGAATCGTCTAATAAGATTAACTTCTTCGTACACAATGTGTACATATGTGCACATGCACGAAAATTAATTTTCAGTTTGCCTACAAATTTACACATACTTTCTTTTGCATAATTGACAATGAAAGCTCAAAGTCTTCCGTTCACTATTGTTAAGAAATCTAGTACATCACTATTAACCAGAAGAACAATTTTGGATCAAACTTATTGCTTATGTACAAAGGGTTTTACATCATTTTTGCTCAGCAGGTGACCTGGCTGCAAACGATGAGCGAATCGAGCTGAAGACGACTTATTTCTGTACAGGATCTATGGGGTCGATCACAAGGGTTTGGCGATGCTTCCTATCATGGATAAATTGTTGAATCAGTGATGTTTTTTGGTCTATTTCATCTACGTTTGAGGATTTCCACCCAATGATTTTGCGTTTTTCCTCATTCTTTGTGATCCCACCCTTGATGGCGTTCTTTTTCTCTATCTTTTTTGTATGTTGCCAACTCTGTCCCAGTGGCGACTTTTTTCATCCCACCTGGATTCTTAGTAAATAATGGTGGGTTGTGGCATGTTTTGTGAAAGTTCATCGCAACCACCACACCTCCTGAAAAGCGCTAGACTGCCTTATTATCTGATTGGGGATCAACGGAAACGCGTATCCGCCGAATCCCATTTGATTCGAGGCAATGGTTGTTACCTAACGTGCCAGATACCTAGACCACTGAGTCATGGGTGGTGGTTGATTGCCGTGACTGGCTATTATCTGCCATGTAAAGCGCAGCTTGCCTTCCATGAGAGAACAGAGGTGATCCTTAGACTCTCAAGTTCCCTCACTATATCGCACTTATGGCATTATGAGCTAGCTCTAAGGATTGCTGCTCGTTGTGGATTGGTAGTAGGGTATTTTCAGTAATTCTTGTGAATATTTGTTGCAGCCAGACAGCCACCACTTGTTAGGATGAGAGAGTGGAATCATATATATGGTTGGCGGCATCCAGTTTCGGATTTATCTGTCACTGTGGCCTCCACGGCGACAGCCACAGGACGCCTGCGCCTACAGAGGGACCATCGGTGGCTTGCGCTGCACCACCCACAGCTCCAACCACACACCCCATATCCAGTGTAAACCCGAAGGAATAAGACCGGGATGCATGTGGATGGGAGCCACGTTTCATCAACGGAGTCGGCCCACACTCCTTCACAGACAAACACAAGCACGCTGTATTTGGGGAATCAGTCGCACACAAGGCGGTGGCTGGACCGTAGTCCTCTCCACACTGAGTGCATGGAACCACTCTTCGAGCCTAGCACGACCACAAGGACCGTGCACCCGTCCCCTCCAGCAACGACCAACTGTCTCCTGGAGCCAGTATGGAGGAGGTAGTGGGTAATAGACAGGTAGGCACCTTGTCAACATGCACATCAAGCGCAGCCACACCTGGGATGTCAAACAACAGCCAATCACTTGAAATGACATTAACAAATAAAATATATCTGTCAAAGAATACGGTTATGCTGACATAAACTCTTTGATAAATTAGCATATGAATTAAGTTATCAACAAATCTGCGATAAGTACAAATTGTCCACAAATGGCTCAAAAAATACTACAAACGCAACAAAGTTACTGAAGAGAAGCGCAATTAGCGTAAGCAACTTGGCCAGTTAATAGATTATTCAGGTAGGCAGAATAAACCAAATAAACAGGAATGAAATTTGTCCAGCTTATAAAAACCTAGCTTAAGTGTAAGTTGGTTTATTTCAACTGCGGTGAAGAAGAATCATGAATGTGCAACATCAGCCTCAGCATATATATATATATATATATATATATATATATATATATATATATATATATATATATATCATTCCAGCCCAATTGCTCTCATTCTAGGCAGGTCTTCTAGGTTTCAACTATCTAATGTCTTTCTCCTCACTATATGAATTTCCTTTTTGGACGAAACAAGCTGTTGCGATCTCAGTTGCACTATGTTGACTTGTACCAATTATGACGCATCCGCCGCCAGGTCACAACGCTCGCTGTACGTAGGTAAAGTTTAGTGCCGTTATCCTAAGCATACGGCCTGCTTCAACAAACCATAATTCACCATGAGTCATATGCTGGAAACAGAATCCATCGTGACGTGACAAACGCATTAGCTTAAAACGGTGTCTCGGTACAAATGACAAATTCCGAAACAGTGACCAAGCAAGCAAACGAGTCCACTGAGGTAGGTGGAATTCGAAACTTTGCACCCCATTATGCAAACATACCTTTTATGTTAATCACACTGCGATCGAAGGCAAACTCGTTTGCACTCCAATGGAAATCAGAAAGACTCACGCAATTCTCTTTCACTTAAGCTTTCTCTACGTCCACTCCTCAACTTGGTTTCAAGGCACAAATCTGTCAGGGTTGTTCTCCCACTGTATTGTCTGCAACCCTATTCTTCATATGCCCATTGATCTACATGATCGTGTATCTGTTTATACTCAGTCACTTGGGTCCACACGTATGAGACTCATAGTTATGTCATGTTCATAGTAATAGAAACGTACGAAGTGCATCCTTCGAACCCTCGGTTTAATCCCTTCTGTCGTATAGTCACATCGTGTTTCCGGCAGTCGCGCAGCACATAACTCACAAAGGGACTGCATTTTAACCGACCTCATGTGATCGACGAGTGAGAGAATAATATCTACTGTGTTGTAGAACGAGCTCTCTCTAACTCCTGGCATATAATCCTTTTCGCCACATTTCCATGCTACTCGCGGTTCCATCCAATTCACACCATTTCCATTTGTGAGACTACGGCAAAAAGTAGGTTTCAATCACAGATTTCGCGTCGTTAGCAATGACACTGGTGGCGTAAGTATCCTTGGGTCATTTTACGCACTGCATCCTGTAATCGAGGACCGCAATTGTACTCGATCGCAGTTGGTGAGGTGATTTTCCTTCCGCTTTGCATCTAACTGCTTGGAATCGGTACACTTTCACCCATCCTATCGGTTACACAGGTACTGGAAGACTGTATCAGTCGGTTACGACAAGTCAAATCAGAACAAGCACAGTCCGCTTATGTCGATGAACCAACCGTGGGGCTGGGCAGTGTGACGATGCTCGTCAATGACCGCTTAAAAGATAATCCGGATCCGTTAACAGAGCTTGCTGGTGCGTGAACACTGTTTTATTCCCTTTCTCCATAACAACTCAGCTAACTTTCACTGAGCATTCTTCGTTTGCTGACGAGACCGTTTGTATTCTGTTCTGCTTTATTTCTTGCTCATTTTCGCCTTGATAATCACTTCTGTTTTACAATTAAATTGTTTTCTATGGAAATAACATCCCCGTGTTGTTAGTGCCTAATTAACAAGTTCTTGAGAACAACTCGATTTATGTCGTTATGAAGTCTTGAGAACTCTAGAACCGATGAGAATTTGTCATTTACATTCACAACGGTACAACTAGTGCTCTGTTATAAAGTATCTACCGGAGAAATATTCGCAAAATTTTGAAGTCCTCTCATTTTACCAGGTAGTCTGTAGTTTCCTTATCCACCTCCTATCATGTTCACGATTTTTCTCTCAACTTATTCTGTTTTCCCTACTTTAGAGGTTCGTGAACAGCTCCGAGTAGAACAGTCCCGCAGTGATCGTCTTATGGAAATGTTCCACAAAGCGAGCGCAAAATATCGTGCGTATTGTCGCGATCTGCTCGGTTATCGCGTGGATGTGAGCTCTTCGGATGAATGCAAGATCCGCTCCGTCTTCGCTTCCGATGCAAATGAGTTCATTTTATTCAGGGTAAGAGTAGCCGAACTGCGTTTTGTGGTCCTCTCAGTTTGTCCTCAAAATTCTGGTTTTCAGATGTCATAATTAGTCGTAGATAGTTCTACATGTCATTTGTGATCTTTTTCTATCTCGATACGTCTACACGAGTATTTTAGCGGCGTTACACATCCCAGTAAACGTGTACACTAGTCTACGCATTAAGAAAGTACAGCTCCTACCAGAACTTCAGATGATTGTCCTAGTTTAGAACCCAACTGATCTGCGATCTGGTCGTTGCTCCGGATTGCAATCAGTTGCTGCTACCCGAAAGCCATCTCATCTGGTCGAAATATCATTCGAATCAACTGATCAGCTACCGAAACTCGGCTAGACAATAGTGCGTACTGCCGCGCGATGCTTAACATTATACTTCAGCGTAGATCGTCGATCCCACTTCCTACTCGATACGCTCAGGACATGGTTAGAATCGCAGTCCTTCAAGATCAGATAGTCTATTCAAAGTGAGCGAACGATGGCTGCACTTTTAACCGTATCCAGAAAAAACGACGTTTTATAGTTGACTAGTTTCCTCCTTCTGTTTAGCTAAACAAATGACGAAGAATGTCAGCCAAACGGCGGATCCGCGTCGACGGACGGGGTTCGACAACCGAAACTGTCAGATTCGTCTCCCTTTGGGTGTCCAGTTAGCCACCTGACTCTACCTGGTAAATCCAGTCAGAGACATGGTCCCGCACATCAATATATGTGTTGTTACGGATAACTCCCCTAAGTTAGTCGCATTATAATCATCCGGAATCCCCATGTTCTACTGGGTGAACCCATGTATTGCAGGTTAGGTATCGCCGCTACTCCATCCGATTCTCCTGGTTTACTCATGCACTTTTGCGGCTATCATTGCCTGGCTATACTTGCTTCTTTAATCCTCGTCTGTTAGCGCTAGATGCCCGACTTGCTTCTTTCCTACTCCAAAGTGATTTGAAGGTTTAGGTTGTCTTCTTTTCAACAACCCAACCCTCAATACCGAACGTCTTGTCATTGCATTTTATTGTCACGTAAATTCGCACGTCACTTTTTCTTGCGATTGACACACTCGATATGAGTCCGTTCAGACAGTTGTTAGTACCCCACTTCTTTCAAGCCTGTATGAAAGTAGATACGCTGACGGTTTCGTCCTTGCTTGAAGCCGAGCGTGGAACTCAAGATCTGGTGGTTGTTGATCAACTTCTTTTCACTAGACTATCAAGATCCGCGAACAGTTGTTAAAAATCTGTGAATTTTTTTAGTTAATGGGGGCAGCGAGGAACTGTTCGCTAATAGCGCTAGCACACCCGCCGACATAGTTTATCCTTTTTTGTTAAGCAACCCGCTTGCACTTGTCTTGAAACGATATCAGTACGCGGTGTCGTGTCGGTCGCCATCGTCATCAATTCTGATTCGGTGTGGTGTCTGTTTGGCTTGTCACCTTGGCTAACGCCGCCCAATTAGCGCTGATAACTAGCCACTGGCGCCTCGATTTACCTCTCACTGTGGCTTCCACGGCGACAGCCACAGAACGCGTGCGCGTACGCAGGGACTATGGGCGGCTTACGCCGCACCACAGCTCTATCCACACACCCCATATGCAGTGTAAAACCGAAGGAATCAGACCGGTAGGTATGTGGACGGGAGCAACGTTTCATCGATGGAGTCTGCCCACTCTCTTTCACAAGCGAGAGCAAGCAGACGGTATTTGGAAAATCAAGCGCACACAAGGCGGTGGTTAGACGGTATACCACTCTACACACAAACCATGTGCGTAGAACAACTCTTTGAGCCTAGCACGACAACGGGCACCGTGCACCCGTCCCACCAACCGTCTCTTAGAGACAGTATAGACGAGGTAGTGGTTACTAGACAGATACCTTGTCAACATGCACATCAAGCAGATGTCAGACAACAACAAATCATTTAAAGTAACGATATCAAATAACAAATCGAATAAAACATACGGATAGGCCAACATGACTTTTTGTTTGATTAAGCATATGAAATAAATAGGTGGTCAACAAATCCCCGATAATCTCAAGATGGCAGCCAACGAGACCAAAAAACATATGCAGCAACCGCGAATAAAATTAATGAAAATAACTAGCTTTCGTTTAAGCAATGCGTGTAATTAAACAGAAGATTATTAGGAAAGATATTAAAATGAAGTAACAAAGTATTAACAAAAAATAGCAAACCAATCACCTGAAGTATGAAACCTCACTGAGGCACACGGTTAGTAAATCTAATGCAGCGTACCTACCAACATTACGCCGCCTCTGCCTACTTTCTCAGCAGCACTTGTCGTCGTTTCGATGATGGTCCTGAGTGGCCCCGCTCGTGGTTTACTAGGCCTGCCTCACTCAGGCACTCACGACCGCATGTGTTACAGCACCATGCGCCGGACGTCGACACAGTACACACCATCGGCTCCTGTCCTTTCCGCATCTGCCGCCGCTTCTCCGCATGCACGAGGCCTTCCTCCTGCATCTCGGCAACTTCCTTCGTGATCAGATCGCGCCACGCACGCCGGTCAACCGCCTCCGATTCTTATCATCTGAAGCAACCAATTGATTGTGAGAAGCTCACTTTGTTTGTGTCGTGGTAGGGTAACTTCGCTTTTCCTACGTGCTGCCTCCCTGCACGCAGTTGGCCGTATCGCAAGTGTTTCGGCAGACGGCTCGAACATGCCGGACCCACCTCAAGTGCCTCTGCAGCATTATGCAGTTCACTGCATGCATGCCACCGCGTCGGAGCACCTCCGTGTCTGTAACTCGGTCACTCCAGCCGGGCACATAATACGGCGCAGACACTGTTGATGGGAGCGCTCCACATAGAGCACCGCCTTCCGATAAAGCGTCTAGGATGCGCTGCTGTATAGAAGGGGCAGCACCATAAACTTGTATACCAGCAGTTACGTCCGGACAGTGATCTGGTGGTTGTTCCACACACGACATTCCAGCTTCCCAAATACAGCAGCCGCCTACATTACGCGACTGCGCAACTCGCTCATCCTCTGCAGGTCGGTTGTTATTATGCTCCCAAGATAACAAATTCTCGGAGTGGTTTTCAATACTTCGTCGCCACCGAGGCCCACGTACTCCGTTCCGGTTAAAAGCTGGAAAGAATAAACAGTCTTGCTTGTGTTGATGGTGAGCCCGAATTTGGCCGCTGTCGAAGCGAGAGCACTAGTCATGCGTTGCAACTCATCCGCGCGTTTTGCAAACAACGCACGGTTGTCAGCGAACAACAACGTACGGATAGTTGTCTCGCAGACTAGGGTACTCCCACCGAAACGACGGATGTTCAGTATCCCATCATCAATACGGTGCTTCACACGAACACCGTAAGCACAAGCAACATCGAAAGCACAAGACATCATTGCATGAAGATATAGATTAAACAGGGCAGGAGCTAAGACACAGCCTTGCTTCACACCAGAGACAACTGCAAAGTCATCCGAGGTCTCTCCACTCAGCTGCACCCTCGCTCGCATACCACTGTGCAGACATTCAATTAAACTTACAAACTTACGCGGGCAACCAAACTTACCTAACACCAGCCACAATGCTTCGCAGTTCACCGTATCAAATGCTTTGGTGAAATCAACAAACAGAAAGTACACCGGCTGGTGTCTCTCTCTGCACTTCTGTAACTGAACAGTCCCAAACGTCATATCGATGGTGCTGTGACCCGAACGTAGTCCACATTGCTTTCCCACCACGTTCGGTTCCAAAACCTGACTGACTAGACGGTTGAGCATGATTCGGGCAACCACCTTGCTCACAAAGCTCAGCAAGTTGATGCCAAGATAATTCTTACGACGTTGCTTGCTTGTACAGTGGTAACACAAGGGCATACTTCAACTTAGGAGGCACTTTCTCCTCAATCCTTATGTGTTGCAGCAAGTGGTGCAGCGCAGTTACCAATGCAGGTCCGCTGTGTTTCAATACTTCAGGCAGGATCCCGTCAGCACCGGCACATTTGCCGTTCCGCAGCTGAGCAAATGATCTCTGCGCTTCATCCTGTGTCGGCAAGACACGTCTTCATCTCTTGTTGTTGCAGCCCGTGCAACACAGTCCAATCAACCTCTGAACGGTTGTTCAAAAGACGCTGAAAGAGTTTTCGCTAGATCTGTAGTATGTGCGCAAGTAGCGTCTCAACTACCATCAAGCAGCGTCTTCAGAGGCTCCAACATCGGTCCATGCACCGCCTTCAATAAGTCAAGGAATTCCTTGTGTTGGCGCCGTTCGGCGTATCATTCCATTTGCATTTTTTATGCGACGGAGCTCTCGAGTCAGCCGCCGTCGAAGTTTCCGAAACTGGTTCTTCTTCCCCAAGTCACTGAGGTCCGTCACGTGCAGAAAATGCTGTATTCTTCCCAGACACCAATGCGCCAATCGTCGCATTGTTGTCATCATACCAGTCGGGTTGCCACAGGTCGCCCACTGCGGCATGCATTCCACATCACACAGGGTTGTAGCCATCGGCTTCTCCAACTCCACCCTCTTCTCCACAGTACCTAGGGAGAGAACGTTATGTATCCGCCGGTTCACAGCAGGAGTGCAATGCACAGATTTGCGAAAATATATGTACAGTTTGGTCTGCACCAATTTATGATCAGTGCCACACTCAGCTCCACGCAGTACACGTGTCATCCGCACTTCACGCATATCAAGCTGACGTACAATGACATAGTCGAGCAGGTGAGCGTGACCACTCAGTAGGTGCGTCCAAATTGCTATATCCCTCGCACTCAATGCCAACCGAGTGTTCGTGGTCGTCAGGCCGAGTGGCACACAGTGAGAGCAGCCTGGTCCTGTTCGCATTCGCTGAACCAATGCCGTGCGGACCGAGGATATCTGTCCACACCGATGTATCACGCTCAACGCGCACGTTAAAATCACCCAGCAGTAATAGTCCGTCCCTCCTCGACACAGGCCGTATCACGGAGGATTGCTGAGTTTAAAACTGATCACACTTGTCAT